AGTGTAAAGCATCGCTATGGTTTATGGATGGGTTGACACAACCAAATATTCCTTTCGATGAAAAAAAAAAAAATCTCAGAAAGTTCTGGAAAGTTTCTGCTATGGTATTTACTAGAATGGATGGAGAGACCAGCTTGCAAAGGTTCTTTTTTCCTTTGGGCAAAATGGCATACCTTACCCAAGAGCAATGTCAAAGATGGCCTTTCCCCACCTTAATTATTCAAGATAATTGCTCATACTTTAGAGTTCCTGTGGTGAAAAAGAATGAATCTGTATTTCCTAGATTAAGATCATCAAATGTTAATGCTGGAAAGGCTCTTAGGAACCATCCAAGCCAGGAATTTCACACTATTTTTAGCAGCAATGCCTGGCTATATGGCTATTTTATTCAAATCCTACATAAGCATACTGAATAAATATAGGGTGTCCCAAAAGATGTATATACACTGTGAATGAGTATAAAGGCAGTGCTTATTAAAACACATTTCATTTTCAAAACTGAGCTTATCAGCTGTTAACGTGTGTATACATCTTCAGGGGGGAGCGCCCTGTATTTGTCACAGGAAACTTGGAGTGGAAATCCAATATGTAAAACAGGTCATTAGTCACACAAATAATTCATGATCGGAGGAGACATTTCCTGGGCCCGCACCCTTTGTCCCCTTCCCCCACAATCAACCCCTTGGCCCAGTCAAGATGGGGCCTCGGTCTGCACTTTGAAAAATGCCCAGGCCCAGCCAGAGTGGTGGCTCCGTGGCTTAAGCATCATCCTGTGCCCCAAAGGGTTGCAGCCAGTTTGATTCCCCGTCAGGGCACATGCTTAGGTTGCGGGTTTGATCCCTGCCTGGGGCACGTGTGGAGGGTGGTGTCTCTCGCTCTCTCTTTCTCTTTTTTCTTTCTTTCTCTCTCCCTCTCTCTGTCCCTCTCCCCCTCCCCCTCCCCCTTACTCTCCCCCCCTTCCTTTAAGCACATCCTCAGGTGAAGATTGGGAGGGGAAAATGCCCAGAAACTCAGCATAAAACATAAGACCTAGCAATGGTCCACCCACTGATTTTGTTCCCTTCAAAGGATCGGAATCCTGGCCCTTGCCTGGCCCTCCACCCGAGCCCCGATAAATGACTGCCATGCCTTCCACAGAAAAACCCACTCGTGTCCCCGGATATCACTGCCAGCTTCTCTCTGGGTTGCCAAGGACCAAGTGCTTCCCTGCTGCTTGGAAAACGCCCTCCACCCACCTGGGGGCACCTCCCCTAGAGCGCAGCCCTGTCTGGCTACTGACAGATGGGCTCAGACCGCCCACCAGCATCTACCTGCAGAGAAAGGCTGTGATGAGCTCTGGGCTTAAAGCTGGAGAAACCTGACATTTACTAAATGGGTTATTTGCCGGGGGCGGGGGGGGGGGGGGTCGGATTGCTTACATTTTTTGAGTTTGTTTCCTGATGAGTAAAATAAGATACTGTCTATTTCTAGTCTATTTCTAAAGGAAGTTGATTCAAAAGAAATGAAGCTAATACAAGGTAAGAAGTTTTCTAAACAGAAAAACCTCCTGTCATGCAAGGCATTGTATTAATTTCTACGTTCAGCCTGGTCTCCAGGACCCTTCTTTCCTGGTACAGAGCCCTGAAGTTTGGAGGTAACTCCCGTATAGTAGCTTTATATTTACAAAGGCAGTTAAATTATAAGCAAAGAATGCAGACTTGACACCCGATTGTTGAAATTATCATTTCATTCTCCTATGTAGAGCACTCTTAAATAGTTCATGACTTTTGTAATATTAAGAGCTGCTAAATAGTTCATTTAGTTCTAATTAACACAGAAGGTTCAAAGGGACTGCATCAGCCATCACTGTGATGAGCAGTGTTTTGGAAGGTAGCAAACTACACACACCCTCCGGGTTCAACTGCAGGGTTTCACAATTGTTAGCAAGGCTACGTTCATGGCGCAGGGAAGTTCAGGTCACTGGTGGTTCCCTGTTAAACTTCCAGGCTCTGCCTCAGACCGTGCAAGCACCAATCCCAGCTCTGCTGATCACCCCCTTGGAGCAGCTTCCCTCCTGTCTCCAGGCCTCCGTGTCCTCACCTACAAAATGGGCAGAAGAACATCCCCTGGTCCAGGAGGCCCCTGCCACACTCAGGCAACAGCACCGGTGCGCTGCCACGCAATGGCTAGAGCTCCGGGAGAGTCTGCTATCACCTTACACGCGTGTGACCGCCGCCTGAAGACTTGCTCTTACAAGTTCAGACGGAAGCAGTCTTTTCGCAGAACCACCTAGTCACTTCCTTACATGGGAGGTTTTCGTTGTTGTTTTATTTGGATCCTCATTTTAACGCAAATGTGGTGCCCTAGAGGAGAACACAGGAGCCATCCATGAAACCTCCTAGAATTATCACTATTCCTGGAACGGGGATCTCCGTCAGACCCTGCAGAGCTGTGGGGACCCCCTCTCTTACTAGCCTTCCTCCCTCCCGAGTCACCTTTTCATGGCCCCGGAGGGAACGTGCTGCATTTGGGATCATTTAGACCAGCAGTTCTCAACCTGTGGATCGCGACCCTCTTGGCGGTCGAACGACCCTTTCACAGGGGTCGCCTAAGACCATCCTGCGTATCAGATATTTACATGACGATTCATCACAGTAGCAACATGACAGTTATGAAGGAGCAATGAAAATAATTTTATGGTTGGGTCACAACATGAGGAACTGTATTTAAAGGGCCAGAAGGTTGAGAACCACTGGTTTAGACAAACTCTGCAGTAGAGAGCTCCGGCTCTTTACAATGATTCCTACAGGGAGACGCCTGCAAGTACAGGCGAGGCTGGCGTCTGTGCTTTGATGAAGCGGATGCTCCAGGGAAATGTGAAGCGAACATCAAACCTATTCACCTCCCCGTGCTCCTCATTCCAGGCAGCACCTGACCCCTGACCCCTGCCCGGCCGTGATCAGCACCTGACCCCTGACTCCTGCCCGGCCGTGATCAGCGCCTCACTAGTTAGCCCAACACTTGGCAGGCGGACATCAATATTAATGCTGCCAGGTTTCATCATCGCTGTTTGCACTGCTGTTAAAGGTGTTTTAATATTATAATTGGGTTGGCCCTTGCTCCTTCATCCAAAAGCTAAATTTATTCGAGTGACGAGCCTTAATTTCCTGACATTTTTTGAGATTTGTGTCCCATGCTAGAAGCCTAGCTGCATCGACAAAACCTGCGTCTGGATATATCAATCCCATCCTGCTCCTAAGCTTAAACCTTTAATCATATCATTGAAACCACTGCTAAGCTGTTTCCATCTCCGGTCCATCGGTAATCTCTTTGCATTGTTTTCTCCTTTAATACAAAAGGAATATTCTTTGAGAACCTCTCTGACTCCAATAATATATAATTCTGAACACATCTTTCTATCCTAACTGGATATTCAGGTATAAATCCTAGGAGGAAGGGGTGAGGGAGGATGAAAAAGATAGAAATAATCATAAATCCAACGCCCCAGAAATAGGCGAGGCCACAGGAGACTTCTATGAACTACCCAAAAAAGGCGTTTGTGAAAGGAGCCCCAAAAGATGGGTTTGTTGCTAAATCCCTTGAAAAGAGAAAGACCTGTGTGCTGGCTGATGGTACGTGCGGAGCTGGGGCCCAGGACAGAAGAAACAGGAGATGACAGCTGAGAATCCCAGAGACGGAGATGCCAGACCACGGCGGATCTGTGGGGAGAGGATCTGCCTGGTGTGTCCTTTTAAGAACTGGCTTCCAACGTCTAGATCAGGGGTCCTCAAACTTTTTAAATAGGCGGCCAGTTCACTGGCCCTCAGACCGTTGGAGGGCCGGACTATAGTTTAAAAAAAATCTATGAACAAATCCCTATGCACACTGCACATATCTTATTTTGAAGTAAAAAGACAAAACGGGAACAAATACAATATTTGTATTTGCATGTGGCCCGCGGGTAGTTTGAGGACCCCTGGTCTAGAGGCAAACAGAGCAGCCCAGTAACTCTGGGCATTTTGCAAGACAGTGCTCTGCTGGCCTCCAGTCACATCCTGTTCCAAGCCCCATCTCAGCAACCCACCCCAGCCCCTCTCCCAGCCTTCCTGGGCCTCACCCCTCCAGATTCATGTAGACGCCTTCCTTTCTAGACAGCATCCGTCTTCCTCTTCCCTGGCCATAAAAGAAATGCCTCCCTGCCTGCTGAGTCCCGGAACCAGAGAGGGGCGCTGGGGATATCAGGTCCTGAGCGTGGACGTGAACCAGCGCTCACTAAGGCGGCCCAGGGATCTGTGTCCACAGGAAAAACAGTCAGTGCAACTTGGGTGGCCGGTCGCTTTTCTACATCCGTGTGACTGACCTTCAAAAACAGCTGCCTGGCCCAGCCAGTGTGGCTCAGCAGTTGAGCATCGACCTCTGAACCAGGAGGTCACGGTTTGATTCCTGGTCAGGGCACAGGCCCGGGTTGTGGGCTCGATTACCAGCCGGGGGCGTGCAGGAGGCAGCTGATGGATGTTGTTTCTCTCTCATTGATGTTTCTCTTTGTCTCTCCTTCGCCCTTCCTCTTTCTCTAAAAATCAATAAAAACCTATTTTAAAAAATAATAATGGGCCCTTAATACACGGGCAGCTCCTTGGGATAAAGCTTAGCTTCAGAATATCACACATGAGTAACAATCAGAAAAGAATCTATTGCTAATTGCCACTATGGTTGAGAAAGACAAGCTGTGGGAGCTACGGAGAAAGACTGGTCGTGTGTGTAAGTGGTTACCGGATGCTCCTAAGGCAGCATTCGTCTGTCCACAGAGCACTGCGGAGGGGGCAGGCGGTGAGTATCAGTCGCACGGAGCCTAGAGGAAGAGAACGGCTAAGGAAGGTGTAACTGCATGAGGCTGTGCCGCCCATGCAACCCGTCTCCTCGCTCTCCTTTTAACTGTAAAAATACAACCAGACTTTGTCCGAAGGATGCTTTGCTGGCCCTCTCCCTGCTCTAACGGGTCTGTGTGTGCTCCGTTTCCCCAGACGCAGGTCAGCCCCAAGGAGGGGTGGCAGGTGTACAGCTCCGCGCAGGACCCCGACGGGCGATGCATCTGCACGGTGGTGGCTCCGGAGCAGAACCTGTGCTCCCGGGATGCCAAGAGCAGGCAGCTGCGCCAGCTGCTGGAAAAGGTATGTGTGCACGGAAATCCCCCTTCCTTGCAAAGGAAGTGGGGGGAGGTGGGCGTGGGGGTCAGGGTCCTCCCAGTGTTTGCTCCCGGAAGGAGTCCCTCGCGCTTCCTGCTCTGCTCTGCTGATGTGACTTTTCACTGCTCCCAACCCCGTCTTCTAAAGATCGGCTCTCTGTCATTTGTCTTAATGTCCAGTGTGTCTCCTTAAAGGAAAAAAAAGGTAGGAAGTCTTATTCTGCTGCCAGAAATGCAGCCTCGACTCTCAGAATCACACCAGGCTCCTGGAGCTCCTACTTTGGGATTCCATTATGAAGCCTGCAAGGAAGCTAAGCTAACGGCTCGCACTGCGCAAGCTCTCAGGACGGATAACGAACAAGTCCGAGTATTTGTCAGCACTCTCTAAGGCAGTGGTTCTCAACCTTGGCTGCACATTAGAATCACCTGGGAATCTTTTTAAAATCCTGATTTCTGGGCCTCATCCTCCGGAAATTCTGTTTCTTTGTTATGGGGTGGGGCCACAACATTAGTAACAAAGAAACAGAATTTCCAGAGGATGAGGCCCAGAAATCAGGATTTTAAGAAGATTCCCAGGTGATTCTAATGTGCAGCCACGGTGGAGAACCACTGCTCTAAGGCATGCCTTTGAGCATCAGGCGCTTCAGTTTCACTCACTAGCCTTCGCTCCATATCACTACTGAAGCCAGCCCCTAACAATCAACTGCTGAACGGCCTTCATTTCCTCTTTTACAGACACCAGTCGGCTCATGAAAGGTTACTGATGTGTGGTGTGGGGAGAACAAAACAAAACAGAACAACAGTGGATGGTTCTTTCCATTCTTCTCATTCAGACTTTGCCTGTGCTGGGCCCTTCGTACAGCAGCACAGCTGGGGTGGCCAGGCTGGCGGGGGATTGGGGGGGGGGGGAGGGCGCAGTGGCAGCAGCTACAAGTTTAAATGCCATCGGGGGCGATACGATACATCAGGCGGACATCACTCTCAACAACTCATGCGGTGCCATATCCATCCACGTAACTGAACACCCAATAGGAACTTTACAGAAAGTTCAGAGAAGCTAGGAAAATGAAAGCGCTGAATCTCTGAGTACAGACATCCCAGCTTATGCCACTCCCAGGTGCCCAGTGGCACACAGGACCTGACCTTCACATTCCCCACTGACCAAGCATGTCACATGGTAGGAGAATCCTGTTCCTACCAGCGATGTTCATAACAACTCCTGTCTGTTCTGTGTCCACCCCCTTCCGACCCTCAGAGCAGACATGGTTGCCTCTCTCAGTTCCCTAAGAGGAAGCTGGTGCTTGTTGAGGTGAAACCACCTTGCAACGTCACTCACTGGCAGGCGGTGTGGCGACGCCACTCCAGTTCTGCATTTTCTCAATGCCCTGCGAGTGCCCCCAGAATGCCCCCGGTGGCCCGCATGCCTAATTCAGTGCTGCCCTGCCCAGCAAGCTGAGCAGTGTTTGTACCAGTGAATGCTAGGACTGCCAGCGGTTCCACATGCCCCGGGTGTCAGATGCCCAATCTAAAGTTGTCCCCGGGTGTCAGATGCCCAATCTAAAGTTGTCCCCTTAGCAAAGCTTGCCAGCCGTGCAGTCTCCCTGCACAGGTAAACGCGCCTGCGCTGTCCAGCTCAATCATTCCCCAAGTGTGGCTTTTGGAACAGGCTGCCAGCGACGGACTCACCGACGAAATGATTGAGAGACACTGCACAGGGTTCCTCGCTCTGGAGATTTCCACCACGCCGTTCACACAGAGGCCCTGTGAAGCCCCACAGTAAAGAAAGCTGTTTGTCTGTGTTAACCCCGTGCCATGTAAACATGTGAAACTGCTGGACTCTTTTCCCCGAGGAGCTGCCGCACTGGTGCTGAAGGAGAGTGAAATCTAAGTCGATTTGCAGTGACGTTTCAAAGCCCTCAGACATTTGATTCACACAAGGAACCAGGGGAGGGAGTTCCAACAAATTATCAACGAAGGGGGACCCCAAGCTTGCCACGCCCTGCGGAGAGGCTGTGGGCACGGGGACACGTGTGGGGGGATGGACAGCAGGGCGGCAGGGCTGTGGGCACCGGGAGATGGCTGTGTGGGGAGATGGACAGCAGGGCGGCAGGGCTGTGGGCACAGGGACACGTGTGGAGAGATGGACAGCAGGGCGGCAGGGCTGTGGGCACCGGGAGATGGCTGTGTGGGGAGATGGACAGCAGGGCGGCAGGGCTGTGGGCACCGGGAGATGGCTGTGTGGGGAGATGGACAGCAGGGCGGCAGGGCTGTGGGCACAGGGACACGTGTGGAGAGATGGACAGCAGGGCGGCAGGGCTGTGGGCACCAGGAGATGGCTGTGTGGGGAGATGGACAGCAGGGCGGCAGGGCTGTGGGCACCGGGAGATGGCTGTGTGGGGAGATGGACAGCAGGGCAGCAGGGCTGTGGGCACGGGGACACGTGTGGAGAGATGGACAGCAGGGCGGCAGGGCTGTGGGCACCAGGAGATGGCTGTGTGGGAGATGGACGGGGACACGTGTGGAGAGATGGACAGCAGGGCGGCAGGGCTGTGGGCACCAGGAGATGGCTGTGTGGGGAGATGGACAGCAGGGCGGCAGGGCTGTGGGCACGGGGACACGTGTGGAGAGATGGACAGCAGGGCGGCAGGGCTGTGGGCACCAGGAGATGGCTGTGTGGGGAGATGGACAGCAGGGCGGCAGGGCTGTGGGCACCGGGAGATGGCGGTGTGGGGAGATGGACAGCAGGGCAGCAGATGGCTCTTCTCCCCGTGCGTGGAATCCCGGGGACCCAGCCTCCAGTGTCCCCAGGAAACTGACTCTCCGTGGGTCCCCGAAACCAGTGGGAAACTAACCAGTGCCGGGACAGCCAGCGGGAGAGGCCGAAGGCAGCCGAGCAGGTCCTGTCCGAGTGGACAGCTCTGTCTCTAGCCACGGCCCGCGGCGGCTCCTGAGATCGTACACGATTCTGCCGAGCAGAGGCCAGACCAGGACTCGGCACACGTTCTCTCCGGGCACTTTCCCGCCACACAGTCAAGCTGCGCCGGAGCTCGAGGGGGCGGGTCGGCGGCAAAGGAGCAGGGAGGCTGTGTCCGTCCATCCAGACCCCTCGCCTGCCCTTGCTTCCTCCCTGGGCACAGCCTTTCCAGAGAGGCTCGCCGCACGATGGTGGGCTCATACACACGCCGTGTTCACGCGTGCACTGTCCTTAACATAAACGGCGCTTCTTCATTCGTGCTGAGCCGCAGTGAAGCTCAGGAGTGGTTGAGAGCCTCACATTTATCCACGATGCAGCCATGATGCTCGCAATGTTGCCTCGGTACGTCCGTGCTGCACTGAGGACGGGGTGTAAGTGAGGCTTTGAGTGCAGGAGCGACTGTCCGTTAATAAACACTCGTACTTGGAGTCCTGCGGTCGCTCCTTCTCGTGTGAAAGGGAATCACACACTTACCTCCATGGAAACCTGAGATGACCCCCCCGACATGGACTGGGCTTTTCCGACTTGTTTTTCTCCCGGAAATTCCTCCATGTTAAGCGTCGCTTCTCAAAATCTCACAAAGGGATCACTTGGGGATGCTGATGAAATGCAGATTCTGATTTTCAGACAAGATTCGGGGTCCTGGACAAGCTCCCAGGAGGATGTGGCGGTAGATGCTGCCCGGTAGACAATAACCTGGGCACCAAGGACACGGCCCGCCTTGTCCTCTAACCTCGCACGTCCTCCTCCTCTCCCCGAGCCCGTCCACAGCTCCCCTTCCCTGGCCTTCGTTCTGGTTCCAGAATGTCGCTGCCACAACCGTGAGCGCAGTCCTTCCCCGTTTCTACACGTTTCCTGGGCCACCTGTGGCCCGCTTCTCAACAGCCTGGGGCTCAGGGAACCTGGGGCGGTGCCATCCACCTAACACGCGTTGCGTGCCCACCTGCCCAACTGCCCACCTGCTACCGCTGCCTTCTCCCAGGTCTGCGAGAGCAGGCTCCATGGGTGAGGAGGGTCCAGCAGGGTCTGGGAGCTGCCACCACGCACCTGGGTCTGTCCCCCTCCCCTGTGTCTGTTCCCCTCACCTGTGGGTCCATCCCCCTCACCTTGGGGTGTGTCCAGTGCCTCGAGGTGACTGCACCGCAGTGAATGCATTGAATGTCTGTTAGGCACTCCTGACACTCACAATGGCTAAGCACCCCAGATCTCGAGGTCAGAGGTCAGTGTTAGTACTCACAGAAACAACGCATTTTAAACCTTCAACAAAATGGGGCACTGATACGCTTACGAAGCCTGGAATAAAAAATCTGTTTCATAAAATGTCTTTTTCTGACACGTTAAGTCCTCGCTTATATCCAGTCATTTCTAATGTTCGGATGCCCGTTGCATTACTTCCTGCCTCAGTCTAACTGTCTCTTACTGAATTCTTTGACTGTTTATCACGGAGAATTATCCTTCTAGAAATGTGTCCTGTGGGATTAAGGACCTGGGACTTCAGTTCTCCATGTTGACGCCCTTCTTGCTGTTCCGGTGGTGACCGCACAGACCTGTGAACAGATGCTGATTGATGGCCAATGTTCTCGTTGAACAGGTTCAGAACATGTCCCAGTCCATCGAAGTCTTAAACCTGAGGACTCAGAGAGATTTCCAGTATGTTCTAAAAATGGAAACCCAGATGAAGGGGCTGAAGGCCAAGTTCCGGCAGATTGAAGACGACCGGAAGACGCTCATGACCAAGCACTTCCAGGTGGGTCCACGCCCGCGAGCTGGTCCAGCCGCGTGCGATGCAGAGCGGGCCGGGCAGCCAGCGTGGCTCGGCTGGAAATCACTGAGCGGCCCCTCCAGGCAAGGTTCAGGGCTCGCTGGGGACGCCCGGCAGCTCCCACCGGCCCTGGCCATCAGCTGTGGGTGCACAGGAGACTGGCTATCACAAAGCGAGGCCTGCGAGAGCTCGGGGAGTGTCTGCATAGACGTACAGGCCCTCCAATGTCGATGACACGGGGGAAGCTGAAGGAAAAGTAATAATTCAACGTAGCAAAGTTTTTTTCCCCTGGTGAAGTTTTTATGCCCTCATATGAGAAATATCAGGAATATAAACTGTTAAACGAGGCAGTTTTATAGTTTTAATATAAACTATTAAACTATTATATTTACCATTATAAACAGCCATAGAAAGAAGGTTGCTTTATGATTTCACCCAAAGACCAGTCTTTAGACCAGGGGTGGGCAAACTTTTTGACTCGAGGGCCACAATGGGTTCTTAAACCGGACCGGAGGGCCTGAACAAAAGCATGGATGGAGTGTTTGTGTGAACTAATATAAATTCAAAGTAAACATCATTCCATAAAAGGGTACGGTCTTTTTTTTTTAGTTTTATTCATTTCAAGTGGGCCGGATCCAGCCTGCGGGCCGTAGTTTGCCCACGGCTGCTTTAGACGTTCAGTTGTTTATGGGCAATTATTTAGAAACACTGGGAACGGAGAAGAGGTGCATGTGGACTTTCATTAACTATGAATGACAGGGTCATCGATGAAAATAAACTGACTGGGATGATGCCGTCCGCACCTCTATTGAAAAGGAACAGTCCACGTTGCAAAGACACGGCACGTCGTTTCGGAAACACGCTGTGGTTTTGTAAGGGTCACAGCCCCGTTTCCCGGCGGCCTGTCAGGAAGCGGGAGTCGTGCTGGTGGTGAGGGGGCAGGTCTGAGCGCAAGCTCTGGCCGAGCCTCAGAAGCGCTCTCCATGCGTCAGGGTGAGGGCCGGATGCGGCCCAGGGACATGCAGTGGGCCCTCCGCTTCGCATGGGTTACCAGGAGCCCGGGCAGAGGGCAGAGGAAACAGAATTGCACTGAACCACATTCAAAATTCCACCTAAAAGAACAGGAGGGCAAAAAGGCTGAGGGCATTGGCCGGAGAACGGGCTAAAGTGATGAAGCGTGAGGTTTCAGTTGAAGAAAGATGCAAGCAAGGCCTGGGGGTTAAGGAATTAGAACAAATGAGAGCAAAGCCTAGAAGATACCAGGAATTGAAAGATTGTTGGGAATAAGAGAAGGAGTGAACTGGGAGAATAGAGAAGGGGTGGGAGGATGGCAAACAGAGAAAGATACAGGCTGGAGAGCAAATGAATTCATTTTAACCAACATTTATTGAGCAGGTCCTGTGAGCAAGACAGGGCTGGCCCTCTGGGGGTGGGGGTGCAGTACGTAATCTCTGTTCTGTGAAAGACAGCTGACCAACAGGCAGGCGAGACCGACAGCAATTAGAGGCATAAACATTGCTCGGGTGCACAGAGAGAAGAGCTTTGCTTAATTTTGTTTAGAGAAGAGTTAGAGGAAATATTCAAGAAAGCCATTCTGGACTAGTGGCTCCCAATGTCACCCCAATAAATTCAATTAAAAAGGAAAATAAAATAAAAGTTTAAACCACTAAGTAGGTTTTCTCCTCCCCGCCCTGGAAGGTGGCAGTTGTTCTGGGTATCACACTTGAGACTGTCAGTGTCCCGTGAGGAGCTCAGGGTGGGGCAAGAGAGGCAAGCACAGCTTTGCCATCCGAGCAACACAGTGGGAAGCGCAACTCTAGGCGGAAGCAGTGAGCACAGATCTGCACTCTTCTGCTCCAACCTTTCAAACCTCTGACAGGCATACTGGCTGCTCCCTGACAAATGCAGGGAGTTTCCAAATTGACTGCCAGTAATCACATTACGAATGTTTTTGAAAAGAGCCAGAAATAGAACACTTACTATTATTACTATTATTATTTTAGTGCAGGGGAAAAACCTGCCACCAAACTTGGGACACTGCATTGTTCTCTTTTCAGTGTTCCCACTGTGGAACGGAAAACCCTTCTTTGCGGCAGTTGCTGCATATAATCGGCAGCAAGTGGTACCGACGGAGCCAACTCTTCGCGTTAAGGTCCTCGTGGGGCAGCGGTGCTCCCCCTGAGGCCGCAAGATGCGCGGCCCAATGCGCCTCGGAAATGAGCGAGCTCCCGGCTCCGCCTTTTGGCTGTAATGTGCGCGCATCTTTCTCATCAGGACGGCTCTGTCCCCCCCACTCCGCAGGGACACAGGGACACAGGCCAGTTCAAAGAATCCCGAGCTGGCAGGGCAGGTAGAAGTTGTCCCCCAAGGAACGTAAGCCCATAAAGCAGGGCAGCAACCGGAGCGCCTGCTATTTGAACGCGTTTATGCTAATGGCATCTCCTCCGAGTCATTTTAAGATGCGAATTTTGAATCCGTTGTCATAACCACCTGTGAGGGTCCAGGGACAGAGCGTGGTGCTGGTGAGTGGGAGCCAGGGGGCGCCAGGCGCTCAGGGCCCACGCTGTCCCCGCAGGAGCTGAAGGAGAAGATGGACGAGCTCCTGCCGCTGATCCCCGTGCTGGAGCAGTACAAGACGGACGCTCGGCTCATCACCCAGTTCAAGGAGGAGATCCGGAACCTGTCGGCCGTGCTCACCGGGATCCAGGAGGAGCTGGGCGCCTACGACTACGAGGAGCTGCACCTCAGGGTGCTCAGCCTGGAGACCCGGCTCCGCGACTGCATGAAGAAGCTCAGTGAGTAGAGCCGCGGGCCGTCCGCGCGGTGTGTCTCAGTCGGTTCCGTGGAAACCGCGTTCCTATGTTGTGGGGGTGGTCAGACGTGCCTCGTGTCGGGGAAACCAGGGCTGGCCTTCCAAGTGCAAGGTAAGTGTTCCTCAATGGCTCACGCGCCCCTGGGAACGGAGTGGCCTGGGACTAACAGTTGCCTAATTCTCCGATCGCCTGTAACATTTGAAATAAACAGCCTGGCGATAGAGCCGATTCCACTGGCTAATGGAGATGTGTTTTAGTCCAGGCAGATGGTGCGTGATGAGTGATCACTGCTGGGCCAGGGCGCAGGGGAGGCACTTCAGGGAGCGGAGAAAGTCAGAGACTGCAGGAGAGGGAGTGGCCCTGGGCCAAAATGTGAAGCCGCAGAGCTGAAAGCAAACCCAACAGCTGCCCTTCCTGCAGAGCTGCCCACGGCCGCTCTGACCCGCTGAAGCAATCAGAGGCACCTTCCCAAATCGGCAGCTACACACCATGAGTGAGGGCCATGCAAGCGCGCGGGGCCTGGACTGCAGTCCCTGACTCAGCCCGGACCGAGGGTGCAAGCCCTCCCGCTGCACCCAGGAGCTAGTGACCCAGCCGGAGCCTCCGGGGACTAGAGTAACCTAATGCGGCGTGAGCACATGGTAGGGAACTGACCGAAGAGGCTGCGGCCCCTTCAGGAACAGCTTGTTAGTAGTTGACATGACGGGGCAAGGCGGGGTGGCAGGGGGCGGGGGGTAGAGGGAGGCAGCTCAACCACAGAAAAGTGCTCTCTCAAGGTCAAGAACACTTTCTGGAGGAGGAAATATGCTGGGAAGAGGAGTAAAGAAGTTGAGAAAAATAATTTCTGGCCAAGAAAATCTCAAAGGATACATGTAACACTTGATCGGTAGCGTTCAAGTGTTTTAAAATAAAATCTGCATGAGTGACAAGAACATGTTACCAGGGGTGGGCAAACTTTTTGACTCGAGGGCCACAATGGGTTCTTAAACTGGACCGGAGGGCTGGAACAAAAGCATGGATGGAGTGTTTGTGTGAACTAATATAAATTCAAAGTAAACATCCTATCTAATAAAAAGGGAATATGCTAATTGACCCTCACACTGTTGCAAAGATGGTGGTGCCCACAGCCAATAAGGAGGGAATATGCTAATTGACTGCCATGCCCTCAAAGATGGTGGCGCCCATAGCCACAAGATGGCTGGCAGGGAAGGGCAGTTGGGGGCGACTGGGCCAGCAGGGGAGGGCAGTTGGGGGCGACCGGTCTGGCAGGGGAGCAGTTAGGCATCGATCGGGCTGGCAAGGGAGTGGTTAGGGGGTGATCAGGCTGGCAGGCAGAAGCGGTTAGGGGCAATCAAGCAGGCAGGCAGGCAGGCAGAAGCGGTTAGGGGCAATCAAGCAGGTAGCAGTCCTCGTATTGTGAGAGGGATGTCCAACTGCTGGTTTAGGCCCCACAGGGATTGGGCCTAAACCGGCAGTCAAACATCCCCTGAGGGGTCCCAGATTGGAGAGGGTGCAGGCTGGGCTGAGGGGACCCCCACCCCCGGTGCATGAATTTCGTGCACTGGGCCTCTAGTCATTACATAAAAGGATACGGTCTTTTTTTTTTTAGTTTTATTCATTTCAAACGGGCCGGATCCAGCCCGTGGGCCGTAGTTTGCCCATGGCTGTGTTAGACTCATCAGTTCACTCTGCCACTCGTGCATCTCGCCATCCACCCGAGCCTGGGCTGTGTGTGCTGAGCCAGGCGTGTGCTGAGCCCAGGCGTGTGCTGAGCCAAGGCATGTGCTGAGCCAGGCGTGTGCTGAGCCAGGCGTGTGCTGAGCCCAGGCGTGTGCTGAGCCAGGCGTGTGCTGAGCCAGGCGTGTGCTGAGCCCAGGTGTGTGCTGAGCCAGGCATGTGCTGAGCCAGGTGTGTGCTGAGCCAGACGTGTGCTGAGCCCAGGCATGTACTGGCCTCCTTGCTCTTCTCTCCCAGACTGTTCACTACATACCGACTCAACCAAAGCAAGGCCAGGCCCCAGGAGGTCGTACCTGGTGAATACCGTAAGCCCTCCCTGAAGTGGGCCCGTGGAATTCTTGTGGGAATAAATGGGAAAACTCTTGGGATTGGCTTCATTTTAGAAATGAACTTCACCTCTAACATATGCAGGCTGGGCAAAAGTAGGTGGACAGTGGTGAGTATGCAAATTTTAAGATAATTAAAAAACAAATGAGCCTCCTCACCTGCAGGGTCTCAGAGACTCTACTAGAGAATTAAAGTTTGGGCAAAAAATAGAAATTAAAAAAAATGCTTCCACAGCAATGCACCCTTGTGGCCTGAATGGGGGCCAGACGTGCCCTCCTGAACGCTTGATTTTCTACTCCGAGAGCCGAATAGAGCAGTCCCCTGTGCTTAATTACATCGGACCGTATTCCCAGACATGCAAACTGTAATTATATGCCTGTGAGGATTTAACTGAAAAAGCACAGTGAAAGCCTTCGCCACCCCCTGAGATCACCAACAGACATTTAATGTCGCTGATAACCAGGCTTCCAGCCCTCTCCCCGCCTGCAGTCACTTCTCCCTCAGGGCAATGGTTCGGTGCCATCTAGTGAAGTTCAAGGCGCATCCTTCCCTTAACACAGCCTGCGGAGTATCGGCAGCGTTCAAAACTCGAGATCCCAATAACGGCACTTGGCTTGTTGTCTCTGCCATGTTCGTGCCAAATTCCTTTCAAAGGGGAAAACAAAATGTCTAGGTGGTAATAGTCAAGTTTGCACATTCAGCCAATACTGAATGAGCCCCGGTGTGTGCGGGCACTCGGCCAGGTATTGGGGAGACGAGGCTGAGCGGCAGACAGCCCCCCAGCCCCCGTCAGGGAGCTGCCATTCTGTGGGGGCACAAGCACATAGCAGAGAAGTGCAGCCATGTTGACAGCCTGCTGCGCGACAGGCACCATGCCAGCCTCTTCCATGTGGTCGTTCCAATCACCGCGAGAACTCTGGGTGAGGCCTTATTATGCAATTGATTGCAAACAGATTGTTCAGCTTAAAGTCATTTGCAATTTATTGGAAAACAGACGGGTTTGGACACATGTTATTCTTGGTCCTGCTTGCCACACACACACTGCAAACTCATTCTCGTGCCCGTTCCATTATGGCAACTGTTATGATCACCCTTACCACCACCTTCCCCCGGCACTACAGTTGGTGAGTTAGACATGAAAATAAAAGGTTAAATAATAGAAACAGATTTTACCATCAAATGGATGGTAGAGGTAAACTCATTACAAACAAGTAGCTTCAAAGGACGCACGTTAAAGATCAAATCATATCTCCTCGCCACACGTTCTCCAATGGCCAGAAGTAAAAAGAAATGAGATTCTGGAGAAATACTAACTATTCCATGTAATTTACTCATATGGACATGGCCTTGGGATTCCAAGTCAGAAGCCATTAGTCCGGGCCATCACAAGGTACAATGATGTATTAAAGAAAGACACAAGAGAGAAGACAGAAGTCTCCGTGCTTTGTTGATCCAAACAACTGCTCTAGCTGCTGAATCCCAAATGACACCTTGTCCTGAGCTGCCGTTGGATCAGCATGGGCTGTAGCTGATATCACAAAGTCCAATGTCTAGAAGGCATCAGAGAAAGACAATGGCCACGATCTTCAACTCCCTACTCAGTATATTTTCTGAATAGATAAAACCATACACACACAATATATTGTAAAATGCTAATATTTTCACGTGTCTCACTGCCAGTGAGAGCAGAGCGGGAGAGAAATCAATGAAGCAGAACCCTTCACTTCGCTCTTTGCCATCCATTTCTGCCCAACATTTGTCTTCCCGGCGCTTGGGAAAATCACCCTTTCCGTCTGGCTCCCTTCGTCCGTGTGGAGAGTGAGAGTGAAGTGAGAAAGATAATTATGTCTTGGAACAAGAGCCAGTGAGGGGGAGCCAAGACACAGAAATGACTTCTGTTTATTTTACTTCATGTTTACAATCTCTACATTTCATCAGCAGCTGACAAGGCCAGTGTTTACTTCACACAGAGACCCACAAAATTATAACTACAAAAACAGCCAGTTTTTATAAATTCCTGAAACTTTAATTTCATTTGACGAGATGAATTTTACCTTAGGAGTCCAGTAACTATTTGTAAGGAGGAACTTCTTTCAACAACGAGATACTATTCTGTTTTTTTGCTTCCTGAGAATAAGAGATGATGGTGATGACCATGATCTTATCCTGATGGTGTGTGTGTGTGTGTGTGTGTGTGTGTGTGTGTGTGTGTGTGTTTTACTACCACCACAAATGCCACCTTGTCCCCATCAGCATATTAAAAGTTTGTTGATCCCCCATCCATTCAACGTTTTCTCGGTGAGATTAACAAAATGTCAAGCTCTAGGCTGTCCATCTTACAGGTGAGGAAACCATCCCAGAGAAGAATGGCACAATCCAATATTATCGGATGATTGACTGTGGTGCCTTAGATTAGAAACCAGCCCTCCTAACACCCACCTGAGCATTCTAACCTGGATGGAGGTACTACACACAGAATAATTCCAGGGAAATTGTGGAAGAACAGAGACAAAAAAAAAGACCATATAAAAGGACAGAGGCGTGGTTACTCATGGCTACTAAAATAGATTAAATTACCATCTACTCGTGAGTTCATTTATTTAATTATTCTCTCTTTTACATCATCAGTTTCTCCCTATTAGATTATTCCTAAAGGCAAACAGTATTTTCTTAAACAATGAGATCAGAACAATGGTTAAATTTTTGCAAAATTGTAATGATTTACTAGATTATAGAGAGCTAGCTTATAGAGATTATAGAAAACTAAACATGGAACATGGAAGGTTAGTTGAACATGCTTGGTTCTTTCTAGGTTTGACAATTGATGGGTATGTCTGTAGATGAGTAGGATAAACGTGGCTTAAAAGACAAGAAACCTCAAGTGACCTAAGGATTCAGGCTTGGTCTGAAATAACTTCTTCACTTAATGTTCTGTGCCAGTTGAGTCAAAAAGGAAAAGAGCCAAAACTGGTTTGGCTCAGTGGATAGAGCGTCGGCCTGCGGACTGAAGGGTCCCAGGTTCGATTCCGGTCAAGGGCATGTACCTGGGTTGCGGGCACATCCCCAGTGGGAGATGTGCAGGAGGCAGCTGATCGATGTTTCTCTCTCATTGATGTTTCTAACTATCTCCCTTCCTCGCTGTAAAAAATCAATAAAATATATTTTTTTAAAAAAAAAAGGAAAAGAAAGGAAGGAATGGAAAGGATGGGCATAAGCAGTAGTGGTTTAAGAAGTTATACCATAAGGACATACAGAAGGCCGAGAGACATATGAAAACATGCTCAAAGTCACTAATCATCTGAGAGATGCAAATCAAAACAACAATGAGGTACCATCTCACACCTGTCAGACTGGCTATCATCAACAAATCAACAAACGACAAGTGCTGGCGAGGATGCGGAGAAAAAGGAACACTCGTGCACTGCTGGTGGGAATGCAGACTGGTGCAGCCACTGTGGAAGACAGTATGGAGTTTCCTCAAAAAGTTAAAAATGGAACTCCCATTTGACCCTGTGATCCCACTTCTAGGACTATATCCCAAGAAACCAGAAACACCAATCAGAAAGGATATATGCACCCCTATGTTCATAGCAGCACAATTCACCATAGCTAAGATCTGGAAACAGACTAAGTGCCCATCAGCAGAGGAGTGCATTATAAAACAGTAGTACATCTACACAATGGAATACTATGCTGCTGTAAAAAAGAAGGAACTCTTACCATTTACAACAGCATGGATGGAACTGGAGAGCATTATGCTAAGCAAAATAAGCCAGTCAGAGAAAGATAAATATCACATGATCTCATTCATATGTGGGATATAATGATCAGCATAAACTGATGAACAAAAATAGATCCAGAGACAAAGGGCAGGGGAGCGGGGGGAGGGGTTAGAGATCAATCAAAGGACTTACATGTATGCATATTAGTATAACCAATGGACACAGACACTGGGGCGGTGGGGGCCTGCCCTCAGGGGTGGGAGTGGCTGGAGGGGGGGTCAATTTGGGAAAAGGGAGACATATGTAATACTTTAAACAATAAAAAAAAGTTACACTATAAAAACCTATTTTTATATAAACCATAAATGAACCCACAAGGAGATGGTAATTTAATCTATTTAGTAACCATGCCTCTATCTGTATAAACTTATTTTGTCAATCTCAACACTTAGCATAGTCCTGATACAGCAGAGCTTCTCAGCAAATGATGGTTCAGTGAATACATGATTTTATTTAAATAGTAACTACTGGTTTAACTGCTGACCTATTTCAGAGGAAAGGCCCATCACTACTAGAAGGAAGCAGAGCCATTCTCAGTTTAGGCACCAGAAGGGCGACTCCGCTGGTATAATTCCTGCCTCCATTCCTGGCCTGAACTGCCGGAGGCTCAGCAGCACCCCTCTGCCATATGGTCACCCGCTGGATTCTACCCAAACACCACAGAAGCTGAGACACCCACGCCACCCACGTGCTGCCGCTTTTTGGAATTCTTGATTACGTGAGATTCGTGGCACAGATAACTGCCCAGGAGAATTCTGAGGCAGATTTTTAACTAACCCGTCCAACTCAACTCCTGTGGATGTTACGTCTACATAAGCGGGATCCAGAAGATCATTTAAACCCAGAAAACGAAGCAACACCTGAAATATGCACACGTTGAAGGGAAAATGAGCTTTATGTCTTCTTGCTAGTTTTTCATTTGCTCATTTTGAATGGCCCGAGACTGATGTTATAAATATCCAAACAGCCCTTGGCAGGAAAAAGGTTCCCCACCCCTGATTTTGAGTACTGAGAAAGCAACTCTTCACTGTTCAAACCTCACTGTACAACACCCAACATGAGTGATCATTCATTCAGAATGTGTGTTTCCAACCCCATGATTCAGTGGCCCTTGCTTTGCTCTTGTGAGTATGTGTGTTGGAATCACTGCCCGTGGTCACCTAACGTGTTTATGTTTCTCTAATTTCAGCGTGTGGCAAGTTGATGAAAATCACAGGCCCAATTACAGTCAAGACGTCTGGAACCCGATTCGGTGCCTGGATGACTGATCCTCTAGCATCCGAGAAAAACAACAGAGTATGTGTCCTCCACAATTGCTTTTGCTTAGAATTATGTTTTATTTATACCTTTTTTTGTCTACTGGGCTGTTCATTTTCTTTAGGGATAGAGTTTCAACTTGAAAACGGTTACATCGCTGCAAATATTGTCAATTTGATCATATTAGCACAGCTACAGAGATAAATGGCAAATTTATTTTAGTAAAATGTTCTATCCTATCATTCTCCAATAGAGTGAATCTAGTTTTTGTTTCAGTCTTATTTTGCACTTCACTGGGCAAAAATTACAAGAGTACAAAATTCTCTTTATATTTCTACTAAAACTTGCTCCATAATATGAACACACACACACACACACACAGTAAGGGAAATACTTGAACTTACCAATTCACAAAACAAACTGAAATATTCCTGGAGTCTAGAGTTAACTTTAAGGGAAATAGCACTGAAACTTTGGGGGTGGGGAGGTATTTTCATAAATCAGCAACACATATATTATGTAAATCAATATACCGCCAACTTACCATCGCTCTGGGCATGTGCTATTGCAAAACTTACTATACATTAAGATTCACAGGGTCACATCCAAATGAGATTTGTAGCTAGATTAGTGACATGGTTGTGTTAAGAGGTAGGTGTACCTAGAAGCAGGTTCAATGAACAAGGGTTAGTTAACTAGAAGGTTCCGTGGCATCCATAAAGGAGAAATATGTTCAATGGTGTAAAGTTAGACCACACATTTTTTCAGAGCGAGTTGCAGAATAAATAAAGTTGCTGAAGGCGGTATTTTTGCCGTTATTGATCGCATGGATCGATCAGGTGACTAAACAAAGTGATGTGATTTGTACTGACACATGTCTGGCTCACTCCATCATGGGCACTGAATGGTCTAAACAAGAAAGGACAAGAAGCAAATCAACTTCAAGGCAGCAAATTTAGCTGTTTCCTTTCCGCATAGTTCATGCCACTCTCTTTGCAAACGCCCGCCGTACCATCGGCCCTAAGATAAGGTGGTCTCTGGCGCCTGGGCATCCTGAGACGGATGTGTGCTCTCACTGCCTTTATTTTGGAATTCTCAGGAAAGTCCAGAATTTAGGTGCTCCATTTATTTATTCTTTCCCCCCATCTTCCCAGGTCTGGTACATGGACAGTTACACTAACAACAAGATAGTCCGGGAGTACAAATCCATGGCCGACTTTGTCAGCGGGGCTGAATCAAGGACCTACAACCTCCCTTTCAAGTGGGCGGGCACCAACCACGTGGTCTACAACGGCTCGCTCTACTTCAACAAGTACCAGAGCAACATCGTCATCAAGTACAGCTTCGACCTGGGCAGGGTGCTGGCCCAGCGCAGCCTGGAGTACGCCGGCTTCCAGAACGTCTACCCCTACACCTGGGGCGGCTTCTCCGACATCGACCTGATGGCCGACGAAATCGGGCTGTGGGCCGTGTACGCCACCAACCAGAATGCGGGCAACATCGTCATCAGCCAGCTGAACCCCGACACCCTGGAGGTGGCCAAGAGCTGGAACACGGGCTACCCCAAGCGGAGCGCCGGGGAGTCCTTCATGATCTGCGGGACCCTGTATGTCACCAACTCCCACCTGACCGGGGCCAAGGTGTACTATTCCTACTCCACCAAGACCTCCAGCTACGAGTACACAGACATCCCCTTCCACAACCAGTACTTCCACATCTCCATGCTGGACTACAACGCCAGGGACCGGGCGCTCTATGCCTGGAACAACGGCCACCAGGTCCTGTTCAATGTCACCCTCTTCCACATCATCAAGACCGAGGACGACACATAAGCGAGTGTAACCTGTTTCCACCGAGCTACACCATGTCATTTGTGACCCATTCCCTAGGACTCCTTTGGTGTTGCTTTTCTTCCTTAGAGCGTCCCCACCCTTTTCCCAAAGCATTTCTACCATCACGTGGGTGTTCCGGAAAATTCCGCGGGGCCCGCCTCAGTGAACCCGTTGGACACACATCGGAACTCCTGCATTCACAAGGCCTATCATGTCCTTGTCATGAGAAGCACTACGGAGAGCTTACGTGGCTAAAGTCATACTTTTGCAAAAGATTAATGGTCTGCCTTATACTAGTGTCAGAGACTAATGGTAGCTTCAATGCATGAATGTCTCTGTCTCTCTCTCTCTCTCTCTCTCTCTCCCTTTTTCTCAACCCTGCCACTTCTTACTATATGTCTCTAGCTCCACATCAGAAAACATTCTGGTAGGAATCAGAAGAAAAAAGGAAGAAAAAGGAAAAAAAGCACTTTTCCCCCATTCATTTCTAAAACAGACGTCAGGATTTCATTTACATGGGGACGAACACGCCGTCTCGCTGTTCCCTGGTCCTCTGGCGCGGTGCTGTACAGCCATTTTTAAATCTCTTGCTAACATTTGATTGGCAACCTGTATTTCTACCATTGTGACCACCATTGTGCAATTGTATCTCTTCACTTCTGTGACAGTAAGTGATGTTTTTTTATAAACGACACTGAAGTTCAATCTCAGTGACCTCCTGGGTCCATGTCCAAGTGTGGTCCCAAGGAAGTATCTTCCCGGCTTCCCCTTCCCATGGTAGTGTAAGCTAAACAGGAAAGCAGACCAGGCCCCTTCCATCCAGTCTTTATTTGACCCCTGACACACAATGGACCACGGACACGCAAGGCCACACAGACTAGGCACGGGCGAGGCAGTCCGCTCACCCTGCTGAAGGCAACCCTTAGCCACACAAATTAAACTCGAGATGACTATATTCCTTCATGATACGACCAAACAAATTTTGTTCTTCGTAATGAAATATCTCAGTGTTTTAACTTATATTTCACACACAACTTGCAATAATGTAATTCCTTGTGCCAGCACTAGAAAAGTACATGAAGCACATATAAAAAGTCTTTAAAAGATTTCTGTAATATCACCTAGATTCCCATGATAAACTCGGGAGCGGTTATTGGCAAGATGTGTGCAAAAGAGAATGATGGGAAGACTTGGGAGTTGTCTGTGCCATTTAAATGTGCAAACGACCAATCTGGAAGGCAACCCCTGGTCACCCAGATTCTTTGTGTGCAGAAACAATGCAACCAAAAAAGACAGCTTTCATCAGATTTGGTGTCACTAACTCCCAAAACATATTCTCAATATATATATCGAACACATTGTTGAGTTTGGATGGACTTTCCATATCTCAAAAATCCTTACCTGACGCCATTTTACAGAAACTAGTATGTGTTGGTTTTAAAATTTAAAAAGCATAGAGTATAGTAAATAAGATGTAACTTAAATGGTTGTAAATGCTTAGTTTTGCACATACATCCTACTGTAATTTCCTTCGTAAAGTAAGGATATAACCTTTCAGACGAAGCATTGTGTAAAGAAATGCTAGTGCTTAAGAAATTCATTTCCATTGTCACAGGTAAACCATCACCCTCAAATAGCTCACTGTCAGGCACGCAGGATAAAATAACCCAATCTTGAAAGTGTCCAAGTTTAGCGAAGCTTTCTCTCTCCCTCCCTCCCTCCCTCTCTTCCTCCTCCTCTCTTTCCCTCCTTTCCTCTCTCCTTCTCTGTCTGCCTGCCTCCTGTGGTCCTTTGGTGATATTGTCCTTCTCTTTGAAAACATTTATCTAATTTCTCCTCTGCTTTTGGGTGTTAGAAAGTTTAGGGGAATCTGCTTGTTGTCGTACACTCGCTACAAAAATAATCAGCCAATACTTTGAATATCAAGAGTTTGTCTGAAAAAAAAAGAAAATCAACCTCGGAGATGAATGAACTTTGAAGTCGAGGGCCTCTACTGAACAGCCGGGTTGTCGTTACTCGCTTCTGTTTGTAAAGAGATGGATATGGCATCATGTACATGCCCACCTGGACTGCGCAGCCTTTTGGGAGACACGCAGCTTGTGAAGCCCTTCGCCTGCTGCGTGTGGCCCAGTCACCTTCTCCCACCCCCGCGGGACGCGCAGGCGCCAGGACTGCGCTGGGACCGGGAACGTGAGCGTGAAAATGGATCTGCATTAAACACTCACAGTTCAGAAGCATTTTTCTTCATAAGTTATCAGTTTTGTGCCTGAAATAAATAAGAACTTACTCTCATCACTGTTTTATTTTTAAATCTCAAATAAAATAAATTTTATGAGGGAAATGATGAGCATTTATAAATTGCTCACATAAACCAATCAGTAAAGAAAGTCTTTTTTTTCCCCATCGCCATTTATCCCTTCTCTGCCCTCTTCCACCCACTGCCCTTCCCACCCTGTAATCACCACACCACTGTCCACGTCCATGAGTTCTCTCTCTCCTTTTTGCTCAGCGCCTCCACCATCACCTCAACCCAGCCCCCGCCAAGCTGTCTGCCTGTGCTCCCTGAGTGACTGTCCTCAGATATCCGGCACAGGGTCCGACACGGAATCATCCCACAGCAAAGGCCAATAACCAAAGAAGCATAAGAGTGAGTCGTAGAGTAACCACTTTCCCTGTCTAAACACACTACACATTTTGTTCCACTCTGAGGTCATGAGAAATTAACTTTCCCAGTGTATTTTATTGGGAATAGATGTCCATCAGCTCCTAAGGCAGTGATGGCGAACCTTTGAGCTCGGCGTGTCAGCATTTTGAAAAACCTTAACTTAACTCTGGGGCCGTGTCACATATAGAAATTTTTTGATCTTTGCAACCATAGTAAAACAAAGACTTATATTTTTGATATTTATTTTATATATTTAAATGCCATTTAACAAAGAAAAATCAACCAAAAAAATGAGTTCGCGTGTCACCTCTGACACGCGTGTCATAGGTTCGCCATCACTGTCCTAAGGTAAGACTCCTAATACATGGACCGGACTGCCAAGCAGATAAAAACGGACTTCCTTTGCTCTCTTGGATCAGTTGTTCCCGCAGTGATGCAGTCAACTTCATTCCAGAACAAAGTAGCGGAAAGGGGCTACCGTCCTTATTTGCATTATTTCTCTCCTTGACACCCATTTTCTAAAGAAAAAAAATCTACATTTTTGCCCACCCAACTCTTGGGTCCTTATTTTGCCTTCTTACCCCTGTAAGTAAAGATTGTATGTAGCTATGGACTCTGGTAGATGACACTGGGTTCCATCCAAGGGGCCTCTCACCTGTCATTCCCCTCCCTGGTCCTGGGCTTGCAAGGGGTGCGCCCATAAGCAATGTGAAGCTCGTCAATCTTTTTTCCTGAGAAAATGCATCTTGTCACGCCTTCTAACTAACACAGTGAGGACCCTGGCAACTCTTCCGCAAGGCAGTGCATTGTTTCTAAAATTAGGCTTAACTACCCGTCTTTGAGCACATTTCTCGGTTTCTGTAGATGAGAGTGTTAGCTGGATGGGTAGTTACCCAACGGTTCCCTCTAGAGCTGGAGGTCATTCTAGGGACCCCTCAGAGTCGCCAGAGGGACAGAGGAACTTAACGGAGGTGGGGCAAGGGCGTCCAACTGTCCCTCACCACCTCCCACAAGAGCAACCTCACTTTTGTCTACTTTCTAGAATGTTTCTGTTACATGCTTTCATTGTCAGAAAGCATTTCCGTTGCTTTAAGTATAAAAACTACTTATGTAGGTGGTCCCCAGGGTCTGGCTCTAACTTCTCCGAACCTGTGATTCTCAAAGTCAATAAAGGATGTGCATGCATGGGGGCTCAGACGCTTGCATCGCTCAGAATGAAGGAGAAGACACCACAGGGGAAGGAGAGAGGAAAATCAGCTACTAATTGGCTTGAGCTAAGACGAACAGTTCATATCGTTCTATCACTCGACTGAACCCTGCTCCCTCACTAGGGATATTCTGCTCGCAGAACTCAGTTCAAAATCCATGGTTTCTTCCTCCTTACACTCCTCTGTCAGGAGCTAACTAATGATGCAAAAACCCCCTCCAATGAACCCCACATTTGGACCAGCGTTTCACTGCATCAGCTCCCACTGAGTGCTACTCTGGGGGAACCACACAATTTCTAGTGGTTCTGAGAAACAGCGGGAACTAATGAATCCCCAAAGGAAAGTGGAGTATGTATCATGGTACAAACAGGCCTGGACTACGCTGAAATTCCTCCTCAAGCACGCCGTAACCTCCGCAGGGCTTTCTTCAGGTTGATTTCAAAGCATCTTTTGTCCCCTGAAAACCTAGCATTTCAGTTTCAACAAAACAAGGGAGGCCAGTTCAGATCAGCATGTGGCATGATGGGAGGAAAGAAAGCAGGCGATGCGAGAAGGTGGAGTAAAGCTTTCAGTCAGAAGGCCGGGAGCTCAGGGTGCACAGAGGCTCATCCTGAGCTGGGACAACCCGTTCCTTCATTGGGCAAATATTTGCAGTGTGACTAGGGAACGCCAGGCGGGCCTGTGAAATCCACCGGGCGGGCTGCTGTGGACAGAAAGTAACTCCGGCCACTTGGGGGCTGCTGGGAACCCTGAGTCCGCAGCACTCCACAAGCTGTGCTGGGCGTTTGGTAAGAGCGGGGAGCAGGCACTGACCCCCCTCCTTAAACGCTTCTTGATGGGACTCGGCTGCAAGAGTCAATGTCATGCCCTTGAACCTGCTTACTCATGCCCAACAGCAAGTAAGCTCCATCCCCAGGGACCACGCTGCCTTTCTCATGTGTGTGCCTGTGCTGCCTGCATGAGCGCCTGCCTGACATAGAGCAGCTTCCCCATAAATGCTAGTAACTGCTGAACAAACGAACCAACGAACGAAGCAACCAATTGTTAGAAACTCAGCCATGACCTCAGTCAGAACTCCCGAGTGAATAGCTCAGCCTCTGATGTTACTTAGTCGTTCATTTCCTCATTGGCTTTTAAAGTGCTTTAGTTATTTTTGCATGTGTATTCATAATAGGACTAAGTGGTTGTTTGTTTAAACACAGTGATTAATTTAAGAGAAACTTCAAGACTTAAGTCTGTAATAACACAAGCTAAAAACTTGTGATTTTTTTTACCCGTCGAGAGGTAACCGTTGAAGCGTGCTTATTCTAAGACTTCCTATAACTACTCTTTCTACTGCTAATCATAACAGCCATGTAGACTAGCAGCAGGAGGGAAGATGAACTAATATGTCTCTTTGCCCTTCTGTGCTCAGCTTTCCTTTTACTAAGATAACAGACACGTATTTGGGGGATCTGGGTAAAATTGGTCTTCCTTTAAACACATCTGTGGAGCCATCACCCCATGATGAAGTACTGAGAGAGAATCTGCTTTCTAATAGCAACTGAAATATCTTCATTACTTTCTTTCCTTGTCAGAGCTTCACTGCTCACGTTTTAGTGGAGGCTGTTTAGCCCTTCTGTTCTCCTCGCTCCCAGGCAACTGGAAACTCCCCGTTTTTCCCTGAGAGGGACAGAGAGTCACAGCATCGAGCTCGCATTTCCCTAAAGGCCAGCACCATCTGCCGCCTCCTAAGTGACCTGCCATCAGGGGCTGCTTGGAACACCCCACTTCAGTGGGAAAAGGGGGGGACCGCGAGGGCGATACCATGGTTAAGGGGGCAGAACACCTCTGAGTGAAGAAGGCACCAGCTCACAGGGCTCTGTGTGACATCAGCATCGATTCTCATTCAGTCTCGTGTCCTGGGTCCTGTGCCCGTGTCCCCATTGCATGTGAGTTTTGTCCTTGACCTCATCTCCCGTGACCTCATCCTGAGCAACCTGCTCACGTGGTCATATGATGTATGCACTCGAAATGCTTCTCTAGTGGAAACTTTCCCTCTTCAGGGAGTTCGTATCCTCCTGATTACACAGCACTGCTTTCCCCAACCGCCCCTTCCCCCCCTCACCCCCCGCCCCCAGAAAAGCAAAAAGTAATCAATCCTCCAGAAGAGAAGCATGAGAACTGAATCAACCCTACAGATGCGGCTACGGAGACACCACATTTCTGAATCAGCTTCCATTGCTTTATCTCCAGGTATTAGAATTTTCACATATTGAATGATTCCTGAAATAATTAAAATTTTGCCACAGATCAGATTTCTCTTGTTGCTAAATAACGCATTAGACTATAAGCCAATTTATTATAAAGAGGTTTGGCCGACTGTCCCAGGTATCGCATGCCACCAGGAAGGCAATTAGTCAATTTTCCAATTAAAATAAATGTGTTTCAGTCATCACATTGCACACAGGAGAAGGAAAAATGACTTCAATCGGTGCACTTTGCATTTCTACAGTAACTTCCATCTAAGAAGCTCAAAGCACTAATTTAATTAAACTCCCTCAGAGTAGGTGTGATTATATCCTTTTGACAAAGGCCTAAATGGAGTCACAGAAAGATTAACTCACTTGCCTGGGTGACACAGTGAGTGGGAGGAGGGGGTCAGAATAAATCTGAGACCTCGGGCAGACGGTTCCCCACAGCCCGGATCAATGATCTCTCGCTATCTGTGCTTTTTCCCAAGTCTCATCATCTCAACTCCTGCCTGGAGCTGGGCCACTGACGCCTTGATTCCTTCACAAGTTGGGGAGAAGTGAGGCACAGATGATTCAAAAATGCTTCTGATGCTTATTCTTGTAGCCTAACTTATGGATGGCGCTCATTTGGAGCAAATTCTGGTGGTGTTTTTTTCCGCTTGCCAACAAATTCTCTCTCTCTCTCTCTCTCTCTCTCTCTCTCACTCACACACACACACACACACACACACACACACACACACACACACAATTAGGTGGCCTAATCCCAGAAAGCAAGCCTGTTTGCTTTTAATTAAGGAATGAATTGTGCATCAAAGTTTCATGAGAAATTTTGCAGAATCTTCATCTAATCTTTCCTTAATGAAATGAATCTGATGGCTGCTCTGTTTGCATTAGCCACAGCACAAGCCGCCCATGGTTTAAGAAGTGTATTGAGCAAACAAAGTTAAAAAGACCCCAGGAAGTAGTCATTATCCAGGGGATAAATATTTAGACATTCTCAAGGGCGAAAAGTCCTTCGTCATATTAAGTTACTACACAGAATCTGCCCATCTTTGTCAAAGGTAGTTTTTTACCACTGCTTTCTAACCTTTCAACCAAGGGGCCTATAAGCCCTTTCAAAAAATAACATCTTTAGAAAAATCTATTTGGAGAAAAGTAACTTCCAGTCTTATCTAGGCACCTCATGTATAAGTGCTGAGACCAATAAGGTCCAACGGGTAAACTCAAAATACGCTATTTCTTACTGGTAAGGAATGTGCTGGTCA